GGGTTCCTCTCATGGGGTCGCCTGTCAGAGGCCACAGCTCCACCACCTGGGCAGCTGGGAGGCACGCGTGGAGACTGAGCCCCGTGGCGCAGAGTGCGGGTGTCTTCTGGGCCCACCCTGCTTGGTTTCGATTTCCACGGCCGCAGGCGTGGGTAGTGCTCACCTGCCCCCTTGGAGGTGAGTCCTGAGATGGGGGAGAAAGGAAAGAAGCCCAGAATGGCTCCCGGGAAGGCAGAGATGCTCTTAGGAGCTGCTCTTATCCCCTGGGGCAGAGGGGGAGGGAACCTGGAGCAGTGAGCGGGCCTCGGCTTAATGAGACCTTTCAGGCCCGATGGAGCCCCCAGCCCTGATGCCGCATGCGACCCCTTCTTAATGAAGCGGGAGGAGAAAGGAATTGAATCAGACGTGGAAACGTCAGCCGTCTCAGGGCAGGGCGTCTGGGCGTGAGCCCCCACGGAGGGCTCCAAGGCATGGCATGGCTGCGTCTCCTGCTAGTGACGCCACAAAGCCTGCCTGTCCCCAACTCCTTATGGGGCCCCTGCTCAAGGAGAGGGGGCTGGCGGGGATCAGGGCTGGTGGGGACCCTGGGAGAGGTGGCAGCGGCAGAGTCAGGCCCCGTGTGTTGCTGTGTGTTGCGGCGCCCGCCCCCCAGCCCCCATCCCCTTCCTCCCATGCAGAGAAGGAGAATCTCGCTTTCTCCTGACCGTGGCGGGCACTGTTGGCTCCTTCCCCAGGTCCCTGTGGCACTCACTGCCGCCAAGCCCACCACCCGCTTCGCCTGCTGGTACCTGCAGCTCTGCGTGGGGGATCCCCCGTCCAGGCGAGCAGTCCTGGGGCATGCACACCCCTCGTCTGCCAGGAGCGGCTCCCGTCAGCGAGCCCCTGGGTCGGCGAGTGACTCTGAGGCCCCCGGAGCTCCCCAGAGGGTAGACATCGCCTGTCCTTGGCTCCTTGTGATACCCTTTAACCTCCCCACGCCCCCCACCTGGGCTTCCCAGGCCCCCCTCCCACCTCACCGCTTGCCCACGAGTCTGTGTCTCATCCAAACTAAGACGTTAAGTTCATGGTGAGACAGCGTGAGTGCTGCGGGCTGAGGTCCGGGGAACACTGGCCCTTGGCCACTGGCATTGCTCTGCCCTGGGTGGCCTGGGGGTGCCACGTCACGGTCACAGGCTGGGTGCTTCTGACTGTCATCGTTGCTGCTGCTGGGGGGAGCTTGGAGGATTGAGAAGGTCAACTCCTCTGGGGAAATCAGTCCGACCCACCAGGAAGGATGAATTCCTCTTAGGTCCTTAGGTCTCCCAGGACCTTCTGGGTGCCCAGTGGTGAGGTTTCTCAAGGACTTTGTGGAGGCGGCCCCATGGCCTGTTAAACTCTATGAGCTAGGTGGGGAGGGGGTGATGGGTGATTGGACTTGGCCTCTGGCCCCCGAGTTCTTGCAGTTTGGACTGATGCTGAGGCTGGAGTGACATTGCCTAGCCAGGCAAGGGAGCTGGGCCAGGAGAGGAGATGTGACCTGGCGGCTTCTGGGAGGGCAGGGTTGCCTGATGGTCAAGGCCTGCACCTGGCACAGGGCTTCTGGGGGGAGCTGATCAGCACCGTTGGGGAGGAGTTTGGAGACCTGCAGCTCTGTGACTCCCCCCGCCCCACGTCCTCCACGTACCTCGGGAGCAAGGATCCTTGAGGAGGGTTGGTGCTCAGGCTCCTGGGAGTGAGAACATTGTGGGGGGCGCTCCCTGTCTCCCCAGATGGAAGGTGGATCATGAGTCCCCCAGAATTGGACCAGTGGGCCCTGCCTGGGTCAGGGGAGTTCTGAGGGGATGGATACCTTGGCCAGCCCAGCTCGGGGTCCCTTCCGCAGTCAACCGCCCCGCTTACACCCCCCTCCACCCCCCTCCGCCCAGCCATCAGGCCAGGAAATGACGCTTCCCTCCCTGCTGGCTCCACTCATTACTGCAAACCCTGGGATTAATTTAATTACACGCTTGTCTCCTAGAGGCTGGGGCATGGAGGCGCCCCATGGGATCCCAGTTGCCCAAGGCTGCTGGGGAGGATTAGGGAGCCAGGCCCTTCCTGCCGTCCCCTCCACCCCCCACGCCTGACTTGAGGGTCCACCTGGCTCTCATGCTTCTCTACCGCAGGGCACCTGCTCTGACCCCCCGGGTGACCAGATGTCCGGCTCCCTGGCCCTGGGCAGCGTGCACAGCCTGGTTTGGGAGCTGAGGATAGAGACAGTGGGGAGGGGTCCCATGGGGCAGGGGAGGTTTATCCGGGACTTTGAGGAGGCGGCCTCTTCCCTTGTTAAACTGAGCAGGGTTGGGCAGGCTCGGGGCTGGGCCCGGGGCTCAGGAAAGGCCCCCAGACCAGAACTGGGGGACGTGCGCAGAGGGTGGATGATGGGGTCCACTTTCCAGGCCGTGCTCTGGGCCCCCCCTCTGCCTGTCTTGACATCAACAGGGGGCTCTGTTATGTGGAGGGGAATCGTTTAATCCCTCCTCCTTTTTTATAAAGAAAGATCTCTCTCTATTCTAAAAGCAGATTATTGGAAAACTAACAGGAAATGGTGTGAATAAATAAAAGATCACCCGTCCCCTCGTGAGCAACACTGCAATCAGTATTTCCCCGTGCCTCCTTCCTGGATTTATTTCAATACACAGATATTTTTAAACACAACAGCAATTATATGTGTGCTTTTGCGTCCAGTTCTTTTCACTGGCGTTGAAGTGTTGTTTTTTTTTTCCTGTATCATTGAGGAGAGACGCTCTCCCAAACGTCATTTGAATGATGACAAGGCTGTGAACTATCTGCTGTTGTTGAACAAGTGGTTTCAGTTTTGGTCCCTGTAGCACCATCTGCATGGAGCCGGGAGGGTCTTGTCCTCAGGTGGTGTTCCAGGGAACTCCCCTGCCGGCAGCTGGTGAAGGATAGAGTGCTGGGGAGGCTGCACCCCATCTCCGCCCTGGTGCTCAGGGGCCCAGCAAACCACAAACCCTAAGGCCCTTCCCATCAGGCCTGTTTGTGTGGATAGGTGTGGACGGGTGTGGGTGCGTGTGGGTGGGTGAGGATGGGATGTGGGAGCTACTGGTCAGTTTGGGCAGACAGAGGGTAAACTGAGGCAGGGGAATGGCACAGGGCATGTACTGTAGTGACTGCCGAGGGCCCCCCGCCCAGGCAGGGGGGATCTACCCATTCCTGACCTGGGTACCGGGTCCTAGTGGGGGGCCTTTGGAGTCCCCGCCTGGGGTCCAGCCATCCTCCGCCACTGCCCCGTGTGTGTGTGAAGAAGCCCCTTCACCTCTCGGAGACCAGCGCACAGGGCTTGCTGCAGACCTGCCTTCTAGTTCCCGGTGTCACCCCTGGGGTTGGGGGTGGGAGGCTGGCGGGCGAGCCTTCTTCCTCGCTAGAAGCCTCCACATTCCTGAGAGGTAACTGGCGGAGAGCAAGGGGAGGAGTTGGCTGTGTAATCGGGGTGGGGTGGGCCGCCCCCCATTCTTGCCCAGGGCTGGGCCGCAGTCTCCTGGGTCTGGTCCCTGGCTGGGCACACAAGCCTCCCCAGGTCCTTCTGAGGTGCTCGGGGCACAGAGTGACCCGCAGCAGACAGGTCAAGGGGCAGCTGGGCACTGCAGGTGGAAGCGCCTGCCGGGCATCTCAGAGGGCAGAGCTGCTGATGGGCAGAGGCTGGTGGAGCTGGGCCCAAGCTTCCATGCAGGGCGGTGGGGGGCGGTGGTTGTGGCATCTGGGGAGGGGGCCACCCACCGCCCCGTCCTCACATGGAGCCCGGACCAAGCTCCAGTGCAGGGGAGGGGTCATGGCATCTGGGAGGGGGCCGCCCACTGCCCCGTTCTCACGGGGCTCCCGTGGGCTCCTCTTCGGCCCGCAGGCTCCGTGGGGATGGGGCGTGAAGGCCACGTCACACACGGGGACCCTCAGGGCTGGGGGCCCCTCTGGGGGCATGCTGACTCTGCTGCTTTGGTTGCATGACGGTCCCAGCTCATCCTCTGGCAGCAACCAAGCCCCCTTTGCCCCCCACCCACTGCCCGAGAAGGTCGAAAGCCCTGTGGGGGTCAGTGCTGTGGGTGGGTTAGGGAGCTGGCTTACGTCGAAGGTCTGGTGCCTTCTGAGATGAAGGGTCAGTAGTGTGATCTAGGAAGACCTTGAGTCCTGTCGTGAGCCAGGGGGCGCAGGACAGGAGCAGCAGGCTGGCCCAGGGGTGGGCAGGGTCCCGGCTGGTGCCTGAGCCAGGCGCCCTTGGGACTTCAGAGGTGCGCGGCAGTCTCCTCCCAGGTGCCCGCAGACCTGGGGAGATGCCTGCGCTGTCACCAAGGCGTCGGGCCCAGCCTCCTCCCTCTGCCCCTGCTGTGACCTCCCCTACCCCGCTTCCTGCCTCCTTGCACCTGCCCCATGTCGCCCTTGACCTCCACCCAGGCCGGCTCCCTTGTCCTGGCCTAGAGGGACTTTTCTCCTCTGAGCCCATTTCCAGCCCCATAGGGAAGGGGGTCCGGGGCTATGGGTAGCTGGGGTGGTGGAATTTCTCCTGCTTCTGATGCAGCAGGCTCAGTGAGTCAAGGGAGGGTGGGTTTCACCCCCTGCTGCGTTCAGACACTGGGGGCGTGTGGCTAGGGGTGTCTGTGGTCCGGCCCCTGACCTCAGGAAAGGTGCTGGGTTATGCCTACAGTCGTTTGTAAAAGTTCAGGTGGGACGGAGTGGAGGAAGCCCAGTTGTCCCCACTGTGTGGGCGAGGGCCTTCCTGCACCGTGGGCCCTGGGGTGGGCTGCCCCGGGGTGAGGGGGCATCAGGGACCTCCTTTTGGACCTGAAGCCCTGCCGAGGCTGATTGCATCAGCCCAGGACAAGCTGGTGAGAGCACCCCTCACCCCAGTTCTGCAGGTGGATGGGGAAACCGGGCTCCAAGGCCCACCCGGGGTGGGGGGCACGCAGGGGAGGGCCCTCCTGTGGGAGACAGTCTGCCGGCCGGTGACGTGATTCTTGTGTGTCTTTCAGATCCCTCGTCCACCTACATGCGGCAGCTGGAGACCAAGGTGAAGCTTCTGGAGGGTGACAAGCTCCTGGCGCAGGTAGGCTGGCTGCACCCCGAGGGCCGGGGCGGGCCTGGCACCGCCCTCCTGTCCAGGGCCTGGCCCCCCCCCAGCCCCAGGTGGCCTCTGTGGGTTCCTTCCTGCTTCGTGCCCCCAACATCCCACCTGCCCTCCACTCCCGCCCAGAGTCACCTCCAGGGACACCTGCTTGGGGACCCCACAGCCTCTGGGCATCCCTTCGTCACAGCCATCCCCCGTCTGTCCCCCCGGTGTCCTGCGAGCTCCTCGGGGGCCCGGAGATGCTGTGGAACCCACACTTGCTGAAGAAGTGGCCTGCTTTGCCCCTCTGCTGGGTGCATCCAAGGCCCGAGAGGCGGACAGGCTCGCCCGCGCTCAGACCCATAGGGAAACTTTCCTGGGCCTGCTGGGCCAGATTCTTTAATGGCTGGGGTCTGCCCTCCGCCCTCCTGCCTGGCCTGGGGCCACAGAGCGCTGAGGCCAGGCCTGACCCCGGCCCGTCCCCAGCACGGGGACGACAGGTCGGGGATGGGTGACAAAGTTGGTGCAAGGAGGAGATGGAGCTGGGAGGCTGCGGGCGGCTGGAGCCTGCAGACGAGGATGAGGGTCCCTCCCCACTGCGGACAGGATGCTGCTGGGCGCCTGCAGTCAGCTTGGTCAATCGGGGTGCCCGGTGGCGGGGTGGGCAGCTGGCTGGGTGGACCCTCCAGCCTCTCTCCCCCCTTGTCCTCAGCCCTGACTCCATATCAGCACCCGCGTCTCTCCAGCCATGCCTGCTGGCTCCTAAGCAGCCGGCCTGGATCCCAGAGCGTGTTTCTGGGAACCGACCCCAGGGAGGCCTCGGTGGCCGGGCCACGTTGCTAAGTGACCGGTGGGCTTGCTGCCGCCCCGAGGGCAGCCCCACGGCTGCCGTCCCACCTCTCGCCCTCGCATGGGCGGCTGGAAGGTGCAGGACTCTGTGGAGTACGTGGTCCAGGAATCCTGGCCTTGTTCCTCCATGGCCTCCGTGTTAGGTGCGCAGCCAGGCATCGAGTTGCGAGGCCCATTTTCGGGTGTCGGGTGTTGGGTGCCTGGCCCCACGTGTGCAGGCTCGGGGCTGGCGAGGGCAGGGAGGGGTGGGGGCTCACCTGGCTGTGAGCTGGGGCTCCCTACACCCAAACACTCCCCGGCGGGGGAGGGGGGCGTCCTTGTGACGAAGGAGGGTGTGTGTTGGGGGCTGCGGGAACTGTAGGCAGAGGTGATGGGGGGGCAGCATCAGAACTTGGGGGCCTTGACTCTGGAGCTGGTTCCTGTCCAGCAAGTAGGGGAGAATGGCACTGTTTCTGGGGAGAAGCAGGTTGAGAGCATGGACCCCAAATTCTGGATGCTGTTTTCATTATTGTTCCACGATCCAGCCCTGCTCGCGGTCCTGTTTCCGAGGACCAGGGTGGATGTGTCCCTGTGGCCCCTGCTCTCCTAGGCCGCGCTCTCCCAGGCCGCGCTCTCCCATCGAGAACGCGCACCCACTTCCACGTGGTGGACTTGGCCTTGTGTTTAGTCGCTCAGTCGTATCTGACTTCTTCGTGACCCCATGGACTGTAGCCCGCCAGGCTCCTCTGTCCATGGGATTCTCCAGGCAAGAATACTGGAGTGGGGTTGCCATTTCCTTCTCCAGGGGATTTTCCCGACCCAGGGATCGAACCCGTGTCTCCTGCATCGCAGGCAGATTCTTTACCACTGAGCCCCCGGGGACTTGTTCAAAACCTACACATGCTCAGGCCCCAGATTGGTGGCCCTTCCTCTTCCTCCTCTCTGTGGGCACCCCCTGGTCTCACAAGGAACACCCCACCATGGCTGTGTCTGTCCACTTGCCCCCCGCGCACATGGGCAGAGGTGGAGGTTGACAGGGGCCCTGTGTCTGGAGCATCGGGGTATGTGGGTGTCTCTGTCTGGGCCCTCCCTTCCCCAAGCCTGCTCTGACCTGCTCCCTGGGGGCCTTGTCCTGGAGGCAGCAGCAGGGGGGTTCTGTCCCTAGCTTGTGCCCACACTCGGGCCAGGCTCTCCGGACACAGATTTCCATCCCTCAGATGTGGGGTGGCCTCTAGCCTGGGCCCAGGCCTGCTGGCTGCAGGCAATCAGATTGGGCTTTAGGGAATAAGAGCATCTTTTTGCTCAGCTTCTTGCTAGTGCAGGAGAAGCGCTGGGAACTCAGAGACTGGCCAGTGAGCACTTGCTCTGAGCTCTCTTTGAACTGCGGGCTGCTCTTTCGGATGGGGTGTTGGGATCCTCCCTTGGGGAGTTCAGCCTCCGCCTGTGCTGGAGTGTCAGCTCCTCACAGACTGGGCTGCAGGATCTCAGCGGTCATATCCTCAGTGCCCGGCTGGACTTGGTGGATGCATCTGGGGACCCCTGCCTGTACCCCACCCAGTCTTCTGGGTCAGAGGGGAGACTGGTTCTTGCCCGGAGTAAGGAAGATCCGCTTAACCCAGGGAGAGCTGCTTCATAACATAGTGAGTGTATCATCTTTGGAGGTAATCAAGGGTGGATGGGTGGGAGGATGGATGACCAGGTTTAGGAAGGAGACTGCTGCCATGGGTGGGCATCTGGCCACAGCCTCATGGGCTCTGGCTTGTGAGATTTTATGATTCTGGCACCTGAGTCTTGTCAGTGAAATAAAAATTGCCCAGGAATCTCCAGCCCTGTGCAAAGCAGAAAAATCTGCCTTTTGGCAAAAAGCAGCAGAGAGCAACATTATTCTTTTAACTATCTTCAGATGATGTGGCTTTGGGGTTTGAGGGGAAGGGCAGAGGGCCTCCGTGGGTTCCCTTTCCCACTTCCCACCCCCTCCCCCGTCCCCCGACTGCCTCTATTTAGCTCCAAAATAGCTTTAATTAAAAATGCGCCGGAGTGTCCACAGGCTAAATTAGTGTATTGCAGTTCCTATTTTCTTTCTTGTGTCGGCTTTAAAATTTCATCAGCGCAGCTGCTCCCCCTGCGATGATTCATCTGGAGCCTGGTCCAGGGTATGATTCTCCCCATGGATTCCGTGCCTGGCAGGGCTGGGCTGGGGGCGGCTGTCATTGACGCTGCTCTGTGGTTCCCTCCGTTCACTTCCCTGCAGGGCTGATCAGCCAAGGCGCCGCGTGCGCCCAGAAGCCAGCTTCACAAAAGAGCAAGAAGCTGGTTGGGCAGGAGCGGGCGGCCCTCCCGGGGCGCAGAGGCCGTGGTCCAGGCTGGTGATTGGGACCGGCTCCAGCTGCCTGCGCCTCCTGGCCCTAGGGCCCGCTCGTCCCGTCCTGCCACGCCGCACGGAATCGCTGAACACCAGGTTGGAAGCGACCCCAGGATTTACACCGAGCCGGGATGGAGAAACTGAGGCCTGGGTGGAGGAGGATTTCCCGGGATGGGTGATCGAGTTGGTTTGCTGGGGCTGCCCGGGAAAAGAGCCATAGTCTTGGTGGGGGTGGGAGGGTGGAGAAGGGGCTTAAGCAACTGAAATGTATTGAATGTATTGTCTCATAATTCTGGGGGGCGTGGGGGTCAACAGGGCCATGTATAAATTTGCTTGAGACACAGTTCAGCCTGCCGCTGTGGGGCTGTCAGCCTGATGGTATGAGAAAGTGGGTTTGGGCCCCGGAGGAATCTGGGTTCAGACGATGCCTGCTCCAGCTGTCACCCTCTGTGTGTGTGGCTTTAAGCGGGGTGTCTTATGTCCCAGTGCCTCGGTTTCTCCTCTTGCAACCCAGGGGTGGTGGGGTGCCTGCTGCAGCGCTGGTCGGAACCTGGGGCGCCATGGGCAGGTGTCTGCTCTTCCCTCCTTTTCCTGGTCTTGGGAGCCTGGGATTTTCCAGGGTCTGGCAGACCGCGCCCACTCAGCCGGGCTCGATCCCCGATGAACTGCTCGCTCCTTTTTGCACTTTGAGTTTTGAACCATCCATTGGGACTGAGAGACGGGCTGCTGCTGCCTCAGCCCATGGCTGACGCCTCCTTCCTCTTTCCTGCCTCCCTGGGGGCGGGGGTTGTTCTTGGTGGTGGCTCCTTCGCCCAGGCCCTCTGCAGGTGCTGGCCTCACAGCGTGCCTGCTCGCCAGCATCCTCTGTGCCGCTCTGTTGACAGGCTCTGGACCATCCCCTCTCCCCTTGTTTGGTGTCTGTGGTTGGCCATCACTTCCCTGTCCCCTCTGTCATGGGTGACATGGTCTCCGGAGGGCTTAAACTGGTATCCATAGCAGAACCTTTGACCCACTCCAGCTTCCTTCTCAGCCAGGGAGAACACCCCCTCTTTCCATCATCCGATGGCTGGTCCATCTAGCAACGTGGGCAGGAAGAGAGACTAGGAATTCACCTCTGTACCCGAGGCTCACCCAGTGTCCATTGTGAGCCAGTTGCTGGCCAGGTCAACCTGGCTAGAGGGCAACCCCAGGACTTTAGAGCCAGAGAGCCTGGTTCAGATCCCTAAAGTGCCACTTACTGGCGGGGTGGCACTGGGCCAGTGGTTTAACCTCTGTGCTTCCGTTTCCCCATATATGAGATGAGGACACGAAGGGTGCCTGCCCAGGACTAAAGGGCGACTCACGGAAGGGCTTAAAGGGGCCAGGCCTCGCTGGTGGTAGGGGTCGTGGGTCAGCGACTGTGACCTCGCCTGGGGGTCACCCAGCAGCTGAGTGTCTTCTGGACCCCATTTGACATGCAAGAGACCAGGAGGCCGGGAAGCTGCTCAGATCCAACAGCTGTGGTGGGATTGGGATTTAGCAACGTCTGTGCCTTCCAAGAAATGGCAACCCACTCCAGTGTTCTTGCCTGGAGAATACCAGGGATAGGGGAGCCTGGTGGACTGCTGTCTATGGGGTCGCACAGAGTCGGACACGGCTGAAGCGACTTAGCAGCAGCAGCAGTGCCCTCCAAGGGCTTCCATGGGGCTCAGTGGTAAAGAATCCATCTGCAGTGCAGGAGACATCCCTAGGTGGAGAAGATCCCCTGGAGGAGAAAATAGCAACCCACTCCAGTATTCTTGCCTGGAGCATCCCATGGACAGAGGAGCCTGGCAGGCTGCAGTCCGTAGGGTCTCAGTCAGACGCGGCTGAGCGACTGAACATGCACCCATGCACGTGCCCTCCAAAGCCTCCGTTTTCCCCCCGTGGAGGTCCCATGGCCTGCCCCTCAGTCACCTCATCGTGCCAGGGGACCCAGGAGCAGACAGTGGTCATTGTGGCTGAGGCCCGGTCTGTGTGGTACCCATCGGTCACAGGCTGGACGGTCCTGGGCGGTCCTCAAATCCCAGTTGAGCACTGAAGCTGCGTGGGGAGTAGGGGGCAGTGCCAGCTGCGGATGAGAAATACCAGCCATTCGTTAACCACATGTGGACGCCACGTGCTTCATCTGAGCACTGATCAGAGAAACCCTCTGGGCCTGGGTCACCCTGCAGCCCTTTGTTCAATGGCCTGCAGATGAGTTCTTATAAAATACCAGGGGGAAAAAAGGAAGTAAATCTGACTGGCAGGACCTGTATGTTCCTGTGAGGGACCTTCACCCTGAGGACACAGCAGAGGCAGATCCCCAGCCTCCCCGGGGCTGGCTGGGGTCTCGGGGTGCCTGTCAGGAGGGCAGCTGTGTTCTGGGTTCTGGTGTCAGCCTCGGGGAGTCAGGGGCTGGCCATGTGCTGTGTCACGACCTCGTGGAATCCAGAGTTTCCGAAAACGTGGGACTCTGATGAGACACCTTGGGGACCCCACCTGGGCCCTGGGACCCCCTCCCACTCCAGCCCAGCCAAGGTCCTGGCGGCTTTGGGGCAGTGGGAGTCCGGGGCGGGGGGGTGGCGGGGAGGGCAGAGGTGAGGGCGGTGGGAGGCGTTTGCGGGGTGACATGTGCTCTTTTCCCTTCCAGCTGCCCCGCCCCTACGGTCGTCCCCGACGCTGGCTTCAGGTAGCCCCGACCGGGGCTCGTGTGCAGTGGCATGTGGGGTGGGGGCGGCTTGCAGTGCTGTGTGATGGCCTTCCTGTTCCTTCCCCGGGGAGCTGACCACCACCCAGGTTCTGGCATTTAGATTCATCTTAAGTGTTGCCTCCTCTCTGAGCTGGCAGCTTTACAAAACAACAGCCAGGAGTTAGGACGCAGCAGCCTGCTGTGACACCCTGCCCAGGCCCTCATCCACCTGTCATCCGATCTGCCCCATCTGCACAGCGTGCAAGGTCGGGGTTGGGGGGGAGCAGGAGGACAGGTCGTGATCCACACTTTGCAGGAGAACCCACAGCGCCTGGTGAGGCGAGGGGCTGGCTGGCCAAGGCCCAGGCGTGAGTGCTGGCTCCTGGCTGGCCCGGGTCCTCAGGCGAGGTCTCCAGGGGTGGCTGGTGGTCGGAAGAGCCCATCGGCGCCCACCGACAGGCTCCCAGCCCCACCGAGCAGTAGACCCCTGCCGCCCTGGGAGGCAGGCATACCGCCCTGGGGTACCGTTCTGGAAAGCAGGACTGGTGTCATCTGGGATCAGGGCCTTGTTCCTATGATGGAGACGCCGACACCTCCCTGCCCCACGAGGGCCGGCAGCCCGAGGGATGGTTCCCCCTGAGGGGGCCCTGCCCCTGATCACTGCATGCAGATCGGCCCGGGGGCCCTGGACCTGAATGGTCACCGGTGGGCAGGCTGCCTGGTGGGGACCCCGGGCGCCCCTGTGTGAGTTCTCACCTTCCATCCCCAGAGCCGCAGGCGTCGCCTCACCTATCAGGTGCTGCCCCCTGCTCAGGTGTGCACACAGTAGGTGCTCAGTGACTAGATCCGGGGGTAGCGTGCGGCCCACCCGAGGGGTCTCCAGCCCTTTGGGAGCAGGAGGGGAGCTGTGAGCCAGGAGGGGCGGAGGGGTGGGCGCCTGGCCCCCTTTCCTCTGAGTTCCGTTTGTCTTCAGCACCTCCCCTGATGGTCCTCCCCAGGAGGATCCCGGGGGTGCCGCCCCCGCAGCTTTGCAAGGAGGAGTCCCTGGGAAGGAGGTGATGGCCGTTCCTGCTGCTGGAGCCTCCTTGCAGCTCTGCAGAGGCTTGGAGAGGCTGGGCGGCCTGGGTTCATGCCGCCTGCCACAGCCAGCTCTGAGCTGAGGGCCGGAGGCCTCTGGGGCTCCTGGGCCACGCCCGCCTGGCCTGGCCTCTAAACCCCATCCAGAACCCTCTCACTGCCCTTGGCAGGGGTGGGACCGGGTGGAAGCGCATTTCAGCACTGGGATCGTTGCCTTCTCTTTTAAGGATTCAGGCAGCTCTACGGCTCCTGCTCTGTGTCCCCGACCCACCCCTCCACGTCCTGAGGGACCCCATTTGGGAGCCTGGGGGGGCAGGGCGGTCCTCTCCTGGGGAGCGGCAGTGAGCCCCATCCTTGCCTGCCCAGTCACCCTAGAAGACCGCTCTCCATCAGCAGGGAAGCCCTCAGGGATTTCATCTTCCAGGGCACTGGTGGGCAAATAGCAGGATTTTTAATTTGGATTTAAGTGCAGTTACGTTTCTTCATTTCGATGCATCATTAGGCGCGTTGCCCCTCGTGAGAGCTGGTGCGTTCTCCCCGCCAGCTTTGTGGCTTGCTCCTCGAGCGCTGTGGGCTCACAAATATTGATGCACAACACCCATCACAGAAGGCAGGGGTGGGAATTGCACGCTGCTAATTAAAATCTCCCCGCCCTCTTGCACACACATATATACCTCCTCCCCAGGGAATCGTCTGGGGGAGGGAGGAGACATACAAACCAGTGTTTCCAGAAGCAGCACATGGGCTGCTTGTGATCCCATTGGGTCCAGGATCAGAGACACTGTGGACGAGGGGAGCCACAGCCCAGGGCAGCATCTGGACTGCGTGTGGGCGGGGACAGGGAGGCATCTGCCTCCTGGTCCCTGGGGCCTGTGGGAGCACCGGGGCCCCAGAGCCCAGCCCTGGGGCCACATCCACATCCACACGTGTGTGTGTTGGGCCAGCTGGGCCTTACGCCTGGCCCCTTGGCTTTCTCTCACCAGGCAGGCGGGGGAGTGCCTGCAGAATGGCTTCGGGGCCCGGTGAGATGCCGGTGGCCCCAGGAGTGGACATTCTGTGGGTTGGGTTTAGAACGCACTCTCGGTTGGAGGTGATTTTGCAGCTATCATGGAGATCTGGCCAAAAAATAATTCTGTTTGGGAAGTTTGCTTTTAAGTGGAACTGCGGGTGAGACCCCCCCCCCCCCACAGGAAAGCACGGGTGCCCTGGGGGTGAGAAATCCGCATGGTGGGTGTAGACGCGGGGCCTCTTTCTTTGGGGGATGTTGGTAGAGGCTTCTCCACTCACACTCCTGGCCGGGCCAGGGAGGGTCTCTGTGCCTGGGGCGCTGATGCCGCAGGTTGACCTAGACAGGCAGTGATGGGGCGTGACTGTCCCAGTTCCAGACAGAGGGCTGTGCCCGAGGTCCCCCAGTGAGACCCTGCCCGCTTCTCCCCACTCTGGGCTCCCCCAGGTCATGGGAACCGTGCTTAGCTAGGCGGCTGGTGTCTGCTCCAGCTGCTGGGAGCTGGGAATGGGGGTTGGGGGGGTTAATCAGGGAGCAGCCGCCTGTCCCCTGTTCCCCTGGCCACCTCCACTCCTGGCCTGCAGACACAAGGCGCTAGAGACGGTGAGGCCGGGGGGGTCAGCCCTGGGCATGACGGGGGGCAGGAGAGCAGAACCCAGGGAGTCGATGAGGCTGAAGGTCCCATGGGAAATGGGGACCTGGATCCAGCGGCTGACGAGAGGGCGGCAGGGTGTGTGCAGACGCCTCTGGGCGAGGCGGGGGGTCAGGGGCGCTGATGAGAAGGAGGAGGTCCCCCCACCCCCGCCCCCCGCCTGCCCCAGAGAGGCTGCTGCCTGTATTTCTCGCCCCAGCCCTGGCCTCCTCCTCTTGAAGGGTTTGTTTGGGCAACTCAACAGCCTGCTGATTTATGGGACATTCCGCTGAATTTTATCTGCCCAGCAGTGTTCCCAAAGTTCCTTTGAAGTAGAAGAGTGTGTTGGGGTCAGAAATGCCATCCCAGGGTCGAAGGGACTCAGAGGGTCCACAGACCAAGGCTTTTGCTCGGCCGGACTGGTGGCTGTGCTGGATCGAGTGTGACCCCTGGGTCCGGCCCCAGCTTCTGTAGGGGGTGCCATGTGTCGCTTTGCTCAAGTGAACCACTTAAGGCCAGACCTGTGCTTGTTCATTCATTCATTCATTCATTCATTCTCTTCTCCCTTGCCCACTCCTTCTAAGCACGCCTTGGGCTTTAGTCAGTGCCCAGCGGCACTGGTTCTTGTGGACACAGAGGGCGAGGCCCTGGGCTCATGTTAGGGAGCTCCCTGTCGGATGGTGGAGGCTTGTGGGCATGTGTCAGAGCGCTGTGCAGGCTCACCCCATGGGCAGCCCCCAGCCTCGTGGTGGTGGGCGGACTTCCCCCCTCCAGGAGCTGAGCCCCAGGGCTGGAGAGGCTGTTCCCCAGGCCTGGCGGGGACCCCAAGGGCAGGATGCTGGTGCAGAGGGGCGAGAGTGGAGAGGGGTGGGGGGAGCCACCGACTCACTCACCTGTTTATTCGGCCACTCAGCAGATGCTTATAAAGCACGCAGCGGGGAGCTAATCAAAGCCCCTGGCCTTGTGGCTCTGACCCTCGAGTGGGGAGAGGGAGGGATGTCAAGGGCTTCCGATGGCTGTGGCAGTGGGGATGGATGAAGAGGGGGCGGGGAAGGGAGAAGGCACAGGCGGGGTTGCCTGGCAGGTGCCCCCAGGAGGATGCCCTGCTGAGCCAAGGACTGGGTGGGGGCGTCTGGTCCAGCAAAGAGGCCAGCAGTTCTCGGCCCCCCTGGCCCAGGCCCGACCCCACGTCCAATCCCACCCCCTTTCTCTCTCTCTCTCTCTCTCTCTCTCTCTCTCTCTCTCTCGCAGCAGGCAGGCCCCGGGGAGTTCAGGACGCTGCGGAAAGGCTTCTCCCCGTACCACTCAGAGTCACAGCTCTCCAGCCTGCCGCCCTCCTACCAGGACTCCCTGCAGAATGTAAGTGCCCCTCCCCCAAGGGCCCCACCATGTCTAGGAGGACCCCGCACCCCCCAGGGAATTGGAGGGATGAGGCTCAGACCGCGCTCGTGACCTTCCCAGGGCCACGTCGGTGGTCACAGCTGAGCTGGATGTGGGACCCTGAGCTTCTGCCCAAGCTCTTCCGGGGCAGGGCTTGGGCTCCTGACCCTTGACCTCCACCCTTGACCCTTGGAGCCTTGTAAGGGCCCAGTGTGCTGGCGGGAGGTGGAGGCCCGGCTTGAGATGCCGTCCCTGGCATCTTAGGCTGGTGTAGTGGCCACGAGGCCCGGCTGCCGTCTCTGTGTCTCTTGTGGGCCTGTGTCCCTCCTTTGATGCAGCTGGGGGAGGCTGCCCGGCTGGGCTGGGGCTGGCCCAAGTCTGTGCAGAGGTCGCTACCCCGGCTTGAGCTCAGGTGTATGCTGTGTGCCTCAGTTCTCGCCAGGGGCCCCCACAGTTGTCCTGGGTCCTCGCCTGGGCCCTGGCCTGCCCTGGGAGGGCGGCAGGGGGCCTGCTCCCCAGGACGAGCGTGGTCAGCTCAGGACCGCTCCCTGTGGGCGAGCGCGCCATTGTCCCCGGTGACTCCGCATGTGCAGAAGACAGCGATCTATAGAGGCAGAGAGTGCGTGAGTGGTTGCCAGGGGCTGGGGGGAGCGGGGAGGAGGTGATGAAAGTGTCTGTTGAGTGACTGCACAAATTGGTGAATGTGCAAAACCACCTCCCCCAGAAGCACGCGTCTGGGTGAGCCGTGGGACGTTCATTGAGCATCTGTTACTTGGAGGGCCATGCCGGGTTCTCCCCATGAAACCCCATCACAGGGCGGGGACCTCACTGTCCCCTTGGAACAGAAAGGAAACCGAGCCGGCCTGAGGTCACGGTGGGCCCGACTCTTGCCCGGGGTCCCGGCCTTGCTGCCCCCCTCCACCCCGGCCAGTGAGGGTGAGCCCAGGGCGCCTCCTGGGACTCCGAGCTGGCAGGAGTGGGATGGCACCGCTGCTGGCTGCTGGCAGAACCCTCTGCAGTTTCTCTACGAGGCCTCGCACCTTCTCCAGGAATGTAGCTGCTGACGCTGCGGAGGTGGCAAAGCCCGCTGATGACAGATAATCCAAATATTTACCCAGGAGCCCCGTGGCTCAATGAGGCTCCAATTGCTTCCTGATGAAGGGCTCTGAAAAGCCCAGCATTGCCCCCACAGGGGGCAGCTCCCCAGCCCTTCGTACCCTCTCCCTGGGCTGTGGGAATCCTCACCGCTGATGGTACTGTGCGCTAAAGCCTCGGCAGGCTGCAAACTGTAAAGTGCAGTGCAAACTGGAAAGTGCGGGGCAAGCCCGGCTGGCTCCCGTGATGTGCCAGGCCTGTGAGATGTGAGCAGAGCAAGCTCGCTCCTCCAGGCTGAGCCCCTGAGGCCTTGACAGTGCTGCTTGGGCTGTCAAAGGCAGGGAGGCTTCTGGAAGGCTTCTTGGAGGAGGCGTTAAGAGGGGTTCCATGGGCTTCCCTTAGGCCACCCTGTGTGGCCAGGGGTTGTCACCCCACTTCAGAGGGAAGGAAGCTGAGGCCCACCGAGGTGAGGTGGGGTGGATTGCCAGGGTCGCGTGACTAGTCCATGCCAGCATGGCCCCAGATTGGGCCTGGGCGCTGGGGGCCAGCCTGAAGCTCCACTGAGGCTGGGGGGCAGGTTCCTGGGGCGGAGGGGGAGGGTTGGGGCTCGTGGGAGGCTGCCGCAGAGGTGCCGGAGCTTGGGTGGAGGCTCGTGGTCCAGGCCTCTCGGGCTGTTTAGGGGGCATGGAGCCTCTCTGGAGTGGCTGGGCACTGAGCCCCGTGTCCAGCGTACGGATGCATCGGGAGAGGAGGCTTGTGTGGGGAGGACCCTCTGCCCTCTGACGCTGCCAGGGACATTGTCTCTCCGTACCTGGGTGTGGGCACGCCTTCTGTGAGGCTATTTTAAGTGTTCATTTCAGTGGATTTTAGTATCTTCACAGATCTGTGCAATCATCGCAGCAAAATGTCTCCTTCATCCTGGAAAGCAAGCCCGTGCTCATTAGCAATCCCTCCCCACACCCCCGCCCCCCCGCCAGCCCCTGACAATCACTAATCTGCTTTCTGCCTCTCCGTTTGCCTTTTCTGGATATTTCATATAAATGGAAGCATAACACGTGTCACTCTTTGTCCCTGGCTTCCGAGCACTGTTTCTAGGGTGCAGCCCCACGGTAGCAGGTGTCAGAGCTTCGTGCCTTTTCCTTATCAAGCAGCACCCCACCACGTGGGGACCCTCATTTTGTTCATCCATTTGTCAGTCGCTGTGCATGCCTCTGTTCCATTTTTGCCTCCTGTGATTGTGCATCTCTGAACACTCCCAGACGGGGCACTTGTGTGGATGTCTGTGTTCAGTTCTCTGGGGTGTACACTTGTCTCCCCACTTTGGACGCTGGTCCTGGCGTCCCACAGCCCCGGGCTGGAGGCTCGGGCCCCCTGGTTTACTAGCTGTTTGGCCTCAGGCAAGTCTTGCAGCCTTCCCCTCCTCATCTGTAAAATGGGTGCATAGAAAAGACAGCTTCCACACAGAGGTTTGCAGTCAGCCCTCGGTAGGCTGCCCTGCTCCGAGTGGGCTTAGGGAGCTGGGGAGGCATCCTTGGGCCTTCCAGGCTGTGACTGGGGGAGTCTGCCAGGGTGAGCTGGTTTGGGAAATGCTCTCAGGTTCACAGTCCTGACCAGTGTCTGGCGGTGGCTTCGCTCACAGGCTCCTCCGTGCACTCATTGAGTGAGTGAAGTCGCTCCATCGTGTCCGACTCTTTGTGACCCCATGGACTGTAGCTCACCAGGCTCCTCTGTTCATGGAATTTTCCAGGCAAGAGTACTGGAGTGAGTTGCCATTTCCTTCTCCAGGGGATCTTCCCGACCCAGGGATCGAACCTGGGTCTCTCGCATTGCAGGCAGATATTTTACCATCTGAGCCACCAGGGAAGCCCCATTAGCACCTGCTATCGGCCCATCGAGGAGGCCCAGGAAAAGGCTGGATTGCACAGCCTCCCCCAGCCACTCCTGGCCTTTGTTCTAGGAACATGTCCCCTTGCGGAGCAGGAAGTCCCAGGTGCAGGCGGGACCTGAGCCCAGAGCCACCAAGGGCCAGGCGCCTTCCAGGGCGGTACATGTGTGACCGTCGCCCCCTGCTGGCCGGTGCGAGGAAGGCAGCCTTCTGTCCCAGGTGCACACCTGGGTGTGGCCCACACCTCCTCCAGTCCCCTGTCCCCCCACCCCCAGGACCCTGTTTGGTTCCCCCGTATGACACCAGAGACCAGGCAGCCCGGGCCAGAGTTAGGGAACAGCGTCCCAGGGCTCTGCACACGCCTTGGGACACACAGGGACCCTGGCTAGAGACAGAGACCGAGATCCAGAGTGGGTCGGGCCTCCCTTGAGAACCATGCCCATGCCCAGCTTTCCCAGACCCCAGGGCTGTGGGGTCTTGGAACCGGGAGCAGGGTGAGCCTGCAAGGCTCCCCTGGGAGCAGGTCCAGGCCATGCTGGCCAGTGGGGCGAGTGCAGAGGTTGGCTGCTGGTGGTGGAAGTTTCCAGACCCCAAGGGTCCCTGCACAGCGCGGCCAGGCTGGGAGGATCCTGGGGCCATGGCCTCATCTTCTGAGCTCACGGAGTCGGCCTGGTCTCCAGAGGCGTCATCGGGTGGTTGATGGAGAAGAAAACCAAGACTCAGAGACGGGAGGGACTCCCAAGGACTCCAGGGTCTTCTCTCCCCTCACGCATTCCCTGGGGGCATTCTCGGTGTTTTCTCTCTGGCTTCCGGCACCTGCTGCTTTATCGCAGGGCTTGGCGCAGTGTCTCCTGACCTCCTGGCTCCTGCTGGCCCCAGGGCTCCAGCTGTCTCTCAGTGTGAGCTCCTTCTGTGCGGCCTTGAGTGCTTCCTGACCTTGCTCTGGGGCCTGGGGACCCCACTCCAGCCTGAAGGCCTGCCTCCTGCCCCATGGCCACAAGGCCAGCGCCCCTTGCCCAGGAGAAGCTGGGCAGATACTCGGCCTCTGACACGGGCAGGCAGGGGACCAGAGGCTGGATCCTTTCCTCTCCGGCCTCATCTCCTGGCTTCCCCGGCTGTTGTGGAAACCTGGCTTCTAGTTGCCAGTTAGAGTGTTTGTACAATGTGGTGGCGGTTCTCAGACAGGGCTGGGAGTGTCAGGGCTGGGAGGTCCGGCTCAGGGCTGGAAGCCCCATGATGGCCCTAGAGGGTGGAAACGGGGGAGGGAGAGGGGCCTTAGGAGTCAGGCTGCCTGGGGCTGGAGCCTAAGCCCTTCTGCACCTTCCTAGGTGACCTGCCAAACAGAACAATAGACCTGCCCCGTGGGCTGTTTACAGGGGCCTATGGGAAGGGGACGCAAAGGATGAGATAGTTGGATGTCCATGTCACCAACTCCATGGACATGAGTTTGAGTAAACTCTGGGAGTTGCTGATGGACAGGGAGGCCTGGCGTGCTGCAGTCCATGGGGTTGCAGAGTCGGATACGACTGAGCGACTGAACTGACTGATGGGATTTGGGAGGTTTCTTGGGGAGGGGGTAGGTTTCTTGATGCTTCTTCTCTGCCCCAGCCCAGCCTTCTTTCCCAGCCTTCTCTCCCCCAATCACCTTAGCCCCCGTTTCCTCCCACCTGGGCCCTAGCCCAGACACAAGGCCCTCTGCCAGCCGCTGGTTGCCCCATGGAGACCCATGGCCCCATGGCCCAAGAGCCAGCCAGGGCGAGCTCCGAGCTCAGACGCAGTCTGTTCCCGCAGGGCCCAGCCTGCCCGGCTCCCGAGCTGCCCTCGCCCCCGTCTGGAGGCTACAGCTCCACGGGGCAGAAGCCCGAGGCCGTGGTGCACGCGATGAAGGTGAGGGCCAGGCCCTGCCAGCTCCCGCTGCTTTGAGGGACCCCCACCCCAGTCCCCGCTGCTTTTCCAGACTCTGTGACCCTGGGCCCCACATTTGCCCTCTCCGGCCTCGGGGCCGCTGAGCAGCAGGGCAGGAAGGCGGGGAGGAGGGGCATGACTGCCTGGGACAGTGTGGGGGAGGGGTTTGGGGGTGCTGTGCGGCAGCCGGGGGCACCGAGGCCTGGGGGAGGTCAGGGAGGGGGGCGGTGGGCATTGCTCAGGGCCTGCCTGGTGACCTGGGGCTCGCCCCCTTCAGGTCCTGGAGGTGCATGAAAACCTCGACCGGCCACTGCAGGACAGCTGTGAGGAGGATCTGAGTGAGAAGGAGAAGGCCATCGTCCGCGAGATGTGCAACGTGAGCTGCGAGGGCCTGGGGGTGGGCTCTGGGGCTCTGTCCCCCTCTGCCTCCTCCTCCCCTCCCTCCTTCCCTTTCCCCCCTCCCCTCCCTCCTTCCTCCCTTCCCTCTCCCCTCCCTCCTCC